CATCAAGGGCTAAGCCACTAACTATATCCCCCTTTCACTTTGGCTCCAGGTCAAATCTGCAGCAGTCCAACTGCAGAAACCAGAGGGCCTTATGGTTTGAATATTTGTAGTCAGTCTATTTCTTTCTCCTAGTTTTGACATTCCATTTTAATTTGTGCTTTTCCTGTTTTTTATTTTTTAATTTATTATTTATATTATGCTGTTTTATTGTTTTTCTTGTAAGCCACCTCAGAAATTTTGTAGAACAAGACAGGAGTATAAATAATTCAATACATACAACTTGTATACAACTCAATGCTTCGCAAAAAGTAGTCATTCGAAACAATGGATTTTCAACAAAGAAAAGAAGTGATGATACTAAAAAATTGAGAGTATTTCTGAATTATTATTATCATTAATATATTTTCCATCTTCTAATTTTAATCTTTATTATCTTTTCCATCTTTTAGATGTCCACTGTAATCAGGTACAATGGGAAAGGCTTTGTAAGGTAGTCACAAAAGTAATGACTGTGTAAAAAAGTTAATGCCAAGAATACCCTGAGAAACAATTCTAAGCACTATCCTATTCTCCTTTGTTTCTTCTTTTTATGAAGCAGAAATCCTCTGGGGGATATAAGTCAATTCTGTGCCATTTGTGCTTCTCTATATGACCAGAGAGAAGGACAAAGAAATCAAAATTTACTCCAAGGCTCAAGGTCCATATTATCTTGAAGCCTCACAGTGTCATTGTGTTTTTCATTCTTCCTGATCTTCTAAGTAGGACAGTTTAAGATGGCCAGAGAGCATAGAAAGTACTTGATTTTCCTAGACAGAAGTCAAACAACATGAAAACTGGCCTGCAGGGTTCTCCTCTGCTAGGAAGTAGAGAAGTTAGTCATATGTCCCTTGTTACAAAGCTAATAAATCATCAGTAGCTACTGTGGAACTGCTAGATACTACTTATTTGGGGGAAAGGGAGTTAGGGCTTCAATGCATGAATTTGGGGCAGGGGAAACAAACATCAAGTCTATAACAATATGTAACTATTAAGGAGTTTCCATTTTATCTAAAAGAAATGTGGATCAATTTTACCATTTCAAGAAGGCCAGTGAAATAATCAGATTTGCATTTTTAAAAGCTCATACAGGCTGCATTATATAGAATGGGTTAACACACACACAACTGGGGATAGGAAGGTGTCTTAGTGGTTGGGAAAGTAGTTCAGGTAAAAGAAAAATGCAGTTGATATAAGCTAGCATAGTGGATGAGAAGAGAAATTGTACCAATTTTAAAGACGCTTGACAGATTAATGAATCTGTCAGATTAGACTAATTACACAGATTAGTCAATAGCACTTTGTTATAATTTCTGGCTTAAGAAATTGAAAGTTAGTGTTCATCAAAATTTGGGTTGCACAGATGGGAGTTGTGTGGTCCCCAAAGGCAAATGTATATGGTCCTTTTGGTTCACATTTGGGAGGTTTTTGGGGGGCATCTTCATGAAGATGTTGAGTATGAAGTTGGGTATTAACTTTTGAGAATCTAGACAGAAAATAATTCATCACTTAATTTTCATAATGTCCATGCTTAAAACACAGACAATAGGGCTTTAAATTTTATTGTACGGTCAGTTTCTTATTTAAGCTTTAACTTAAAATATATTAAATAGCACTAAGGGAAAGGCTTTATAATATCTGTTAGCCTTTTTCTTAATTTTTCATTGTTTTATAAGTGAAACAACACTGAAGCTAGTTAACACAATATAGCTTGCCACAATCTAACAAAATTTGGTGGAAACAGAGCTTAAGCTCACTTCTCAACTTTTCCCTGCCAAAATCCTAGCAGAAGCACATTGGTGTCTTAGGATCACAGGCTCATTATATGCCAGAAGAAGGTAGGCTATCCCTACCAATTCAAGAGTCTATAAATTGATGGCTAGGTAACTGTTGTTTCTGGAATAACAGACTTTAAAGACTCAACCTAATTCCACTTCTGGTTCACAGCATCCCAAAGGGAGTAGGAATAGGAATGGAGTAAGGAAACCTGAGCTGTAGACCCAGTTCTGACAGTGACTCATTATGTGACCCTGGACAAATCACTTATCTCCTTTATACCCATTTGTAATTGAGATGAGAATTATTGACATGCTTCTTCCTCTAGGGCTATGACACTAATATTAAAAAATTTACATTGATACTTAGACACATACATGGAAGTTAATTTCTTCCTCAGCAAGATAAAACAGATAATCAGCAAGAAAGAGATTGAGTTTGATGAGAGTTCCAGAAAAAGGGGCATTAAAAGAGAACCTATGGGACAGTGATGTTTGCTGTGTTCCCTTTGCACTCTGAATGTGTCTCTATTATTGTACCTACCAGATTATCTCATAATTATCAGTTTATATGTTTGTCTGCATGGCTAAACCAAGAGCCCCTCAAGTGTAGAAATTAGGTCAAATTCATCTTGGCATCTCTCAGTTTCTATAACATCATTTGACACATAGCAGGTGCTCAAGAAATATTTTCTGAATGTCAAAAAAGAAATACATTTTTGAAACTATTCAACAACAGCAAAATCCTTAAGATGTTTGACTTTGAGGCATCACAAAAAAAATCAGATCCTCAAAAGAAAAAAAAATTCAGTGTGAAAGCAGAGAGTTTCTAATTACCCTTCTACACTCTAGAAACTCTCTCAAAATGAACTTAGTTCTTAGGGATTTTCCAGTTTACAAACAAACTAACAGCTTCCTATTTAATCTTTACAAAAACTCTTCAAAGTAGGTATTATTATCCCCACTTTACATAAAAGGAAACTGAGTTGCAGAGAAGTTAATTCATTTGTCCATGGACACACAAAGTCAGTAACTCAACAGTTAGTGCTGTGAGACTAGCTGGGTAGTCATGTTTAATAAATTTATTGAACCAAATCAACTGAGCAGAATGTGCAAGGCAGACAGCTAGCTGTATTGGAGCATAAGGATGATTCAAACACATCTCAAGGAATATCTTGTGAGTCAAAGCCATGGAAACAGATAATCAGCAAGAAAGAGATTGAGTTTGATGAGAGTTCCAGAAAAAGGGGCATTAAAAGAGAACCTATGGGACAGTGATGTTTGCTCTGGGGATGGGCAAGAATGAGTTAGAGGAAGGACATTCCTGCAAAGGGAACAGCATGAGCAAAAATGGAGAGGCTAGTAGTCACAGTGACAGGAAGAGAAGCAGTGGAGAGAGAGGGTCCAGGAGAGAGAGGGAACGAGACAGAAATAGAATATTAGATGTGTTGATTTTAAGATGCTGGTGAACATCTCAGTGTAGGTATCAGTCCAATAGTTGGAAATGCTGGGCTGAAATTGGTGGAAGGAACAAAAAATAAAAATACATGGTTGTGAGTCATCTTTACAGAGAGAGAGAGAGAGTAAGGAGGCCAAAGAAACATGCAGACAACATCTAAAATGTGGGAGAAGGGAGAGGAACCAAAGAAAGTATGGTCCAGAGGTAGAAACAGAACACCAGCAGGTCAGTAGATCAGCAGCCCCTTCCTGGCTATCAACTCTCAGAAGATGAAAGTTCAGTAAAGAAGGCTTGGAAGGATGTAGAAAGTTAAGGAAGATGAAGACTAAGAAAAAGGCAATGAAATGGGAGAAGCATGAAGTCACCTATGACAGCTGAGGGAGTAGCTCTGGTCAAACTGGGGAGGCTGTGAAAGGATAAAAGGCAGATTAATAGAACTGAGGAGTGATCCGGTCAAGAAATGAGGGTAAATTCAAAAACTTTGATGGAGGCCATGAGAAAGTACAAAATACATTCTAAGATCTCTTGACTCTTCTGGTTGTCCTCATAACCAAGGACAAATGGCTGCTCAAAGTGAGGGCTCCCATGCGTTCCATGGAATTGAACTAGACTAATCAATTACCTCACTCACTCACGTCCTTGACTTATAAGCACCATGCTCCAGGCGAATAACATTACATAGAAGATTTGATTTTTAATGCTTGGAGTCTTATTTGTAATTTAGTAGCAAGATGAACACATCAAAGCAAACATAGTCATACATAATCGCCCCCTTGAGGGGTTCTGCACAATTCTAAAAATGCTATCACTCTGCAAAACCTGCTTTGATTCCCTTCTTTGGGACTGTTCCCTGGGTGCTGAGGCAGCCTAAGAGCCCCCACGATAACCTCTCCAATAACAGCTATCATTGCTATCATCACTTTTTTTATTCCTCAATTTCATTGCCTACCTTGTGCACTAGACTTGCCTCTAAATAACTTTGGACTCTTTTCAACTTGAAGCTGCCTCAAAAACCACAAATTTGTTACCACAGAGTTTATTACAAAGCAAGTGCTCTCAAAGGTTTCAAAAGACATTCTGGGTGATGGTAGCACCTTTGGGAAGAGAGTTCAACCTGCAAAGTGATTCCTGTGGAAAGGACATGTGCTTGCGTATGTGAGCTCATGTTTTCACCCCTGCTATTATGTGTGTCTCTATGCAATCTGCCAGCATCTCTACCACCTGCCATACGCTTGAAGTTCCCAAATGCTGAGGTTCCTACTTCAGAGACCAATACCCTCACTTAAAAAAAAAATAAAAATAAACATAAACCTAAAGGCAAACAGATTCAGCCAGATTTGGTGACAAGAACGCCAAACTTAAAAGAGGCATGTTGAGACTAATGTGTGGTCCTACGCAAGTCACTCACCCTCTCTGAGGGTCAGTTTCTTCATACATGAACGGAGGGGGCTATAGTAAAAGGCCTTAAGATGCTTTTCTTCTGGAATGAAGGTCTGGGAGAAGTTACAGCAGTCTGGGGAGCAGCCCCAGCCCCACCAAGAAATGGGGCACCCCCTGCTCCTGGCGGGCAAGGGAGGGTTCCATAGCCTAAGTGAAAGCAGCCTCCTCCCCTGTGTGGGGCATTTGTTTGTTTTGTTCTTTGCTGCCCACCAACTGAGCTGTTGAAAGGACAGCTATGGCCCCCTTAGCACTCCAGCACTATGCCCACGGGTGGCGGAAGGGGTCCTTACCCATCGTGTTGTTGGCTCGAGAACAGGCTGTGCGCTTCAGGATTTCATGCACCTAAAACAGATGAGAGCAGGGCTGTGAGGACCTTGACCACATGCTTCACCACATGTAGGGGGCAGGCAGGGAACCAGGTGACTGGACCCATTTACAGGGAGGGGGGAGCCCAGCATGTTCCAAACTCATGGACTGCTTGTCAAACCCACTCAAACTTGAGTGCTTTGAGGAAACAATCAACCCCCTCATACACACTGTCCTCCCTTTGCCCCACCCTGAAAAAATTAAGAAAGGAAAGGCTATAAATTGCAGTTACAGCAGGCAAGAAAAACACACCAAGGAGTGTTTTTCACTCAGACCCCCACAGCGCCCCCTGGGGGGATTGGGAGGAAGAGCCTGGGTCACACAGGATGGGGTGTCTGCCTCCCCTGGTGGAACCTCAGGAAGACCTGGAGGAGGATGTCCTCTCCACCAGCCCTGATTAGTGCCACCCTGGGGAAAGCACAGGAAAAGCAGGCAGACAATCCGATCCTAGCCCTGGTTCTTAGCAGAGGGGTCCTGAGCAGCTCTGTGAGGGCTCATTGCTGCTTCTGTAATGGAGCTATGCCACAGAGCTGCTTTCGGGAACCATGAAAGCACCTTGTAAACTGGAAAAGTGCCACCTACATGTTGGCCATTGGTACTATTCTTCTCCTGAGTCCTCATCTTGCCCCACCCCCAACCAGAGCGTGTCAGACACTTCCTCAAGACTCCACGTCGCCGGGCACATCCTGGGCCTCCAGCAGGCAGCTGCTCAATGACCTCCGCATGTGGTAATGGACCAACAATCCCCAACTATACAGCTCGTAGGTGACTGCCCTCACGTGGGAGGGAGGGATGCTGAGAGTACCCCTGGCAGAGAAAACAGGGGCACAGGTGGGCCAGCATAAACCTGCTGGCCGACCACTCTCCTCCCGTGGGTCCCAAGCCTGTGCCAGGCTATGAAGAGACGCTCAGCAGGAAAGCCGGCTCTGGGGCAAAGAGCTGGGCTGCTCAGGTGCCCACAAAGAAGGGGCAAAGGGAAGACATTTATAGATGTGGGCGAGGTCCCCAGGGCAGAATAGACCCAGGACAAAACTCAAGGCTCCTCCTTCTTCTCACAGTGTGGGGTGGACTGGCAAAAGGGCAAGAAGCAAAGGAAGAAGCCTCTAGAAGAGATGAATGGGAGATGTGTTACTCCATCAGCATTCACACTCCCATATTCTAGCCACAGACCTAGAGGGAGTGGTAAATAAATAACTTCTAGCAGAAGGGGCCCAGGAATGTTTCATTCACTTATAATACAGTACAGTAATTCAACAGCAATAATAATTATGAACAGCATTTATATGGCACTTTATTATTTCACAAGCACTCTGCAATTATGGGGGTAATCTCCACAACACCCTGTGATCCCTCACAGACAGGAGACTCAAGCCACAGGGAGATTTAAGTGGCTTATAATAGCATCAACCCAAAAAAGAGAGACAGAAGTTTATATTTTTTCCATAAAAAGATTTAAAAAATCATATGCCCATTTTAAACCTTTCTAAAACACTAGGCTAAGGGACCTCATATCTTCTTGCCCATGCTGCAAACAATGGGCCTTGTTTCCAGTACGCCTTGGAAATGTTCGGTCCTTTTCTCTGCTCACTTGGCCCTTTATATCCTTCCCATCCCCCTATTGACTTAGAAGTTCTGCTAAGTATCTAACCCTCATTCCTCCTTCTGTTGAAACTTAAGTTCTTTCTTAGGGATCAATGGAAACACATTGCCAAGTTTCCCCTGTGGCATGAGTGAGTGTCCAGCATTCCTTAGGACCTCTTTTTCTCCTCTGAATGTTCTCTAGGTGGGTAGAGAATACACTGATCACCCTAGCTGATTGGGACCACAGGGACGCAAGGTATATTACAGATTTGCCCTAGCGTCCATCATTCTGCAAAATTCAAAATCTTGACTTCAAGTTTTTTCAGGCAAAAAGATTTTTGGCTTTCTACTGAGTAAGTTGATCATTTTACTCTTAGACAAACTGGCTATCTCTAGCATTCCCTGTGACAGAAATGCACAGGACTCCCTTGGGAAAGAAAGAAAGAAACCCAGTGGCCCAGCAATGAGTCCTCATTCGGACACTAATGATCTGTATGAATAATTTTTCAACTCATTGCTACTCAGAGCCTCAGTTTCCTGGTGAGCTGAAAGTCCCCACCAGCTTGGAGAGCCTCTGTTTCTTTGATTCCAAGAGGGTGTAAGTGGGGAACTCTCATGAGAAGACACCCCTCTCAACCCTGAGTGAGGGCAGTTGTTTGCTATTTCTTTTACTGCTGGGATTAGAAAGCTCCTGGACATTTATTTTTGTTGCTAGGCAACTCCAAACAAAGGATGATGGAAGGTAACAGGGCAGGCAAGGGGATGTTCTGATGAACTGGGTACTTGGTCTTTCCCCACCCCTTCCCGGGCCCACCACACCTCATTGGGCCCCTGGTTAACCTGTTTACTCACAATGCGGCTACGTGTGGCATTATCAAAGAAGGTGTCCTTATCCTGGATGTTGTACCTGGAGACACCAAGAAAGCAGAAAGTCAACTCATTTTAGTGCCCTTGTCCTGAGGTCTCTTGTCACCCAGACCCAGAGAAAACTTTCAGAAAACAGCATAGCAAGATGTAAGACACGCCACTCACACACACTCACAATGTTTACCCTCCTTCTGACCCAGTAAATCTGAAATCTTATCATAGAACTGTATCACAGGGAAAATAAATTCATTGGAAGAAACAAGTTCCATAAATAACTATTGAAACTTTATACATAGAAAATTTTTAGACTATAATAGAAAAATATTATACTATGATAAGTTTTAAAAATAAAAGAATGTCAAGAAGATTACTGTGTGTGGACAAACTATTAACAACTACAAAAGAATGTAATTTCAGGGTGTTGGGATTATAACTTTGTTTTCTAAGTTTCATTTAATGTTGTCATAATGTCATATCAGTTAGATATCAGACTCATGATTATGCAAGGCCTATACCTGTCCTAAACTTCAAATATTACCTTTCACTAAAAAATAACACACCTGTGCTTAGGACACTGTGCTAGAGGATACGCAGATGTGTGAGATGTGCTCCCAGCCCCCCGGGAGCCCAGTCACTGAGATAGGTATGTTTCCAAGTAGCTGATACAAAGTAGAACGTGATAATGTGTAGACCGTTGCTATGAAAACTCTGAGGATGAACACCATATTTTGGTTGGAAAGTTCAAAGAGTTCATCAAGAAGACTTGCAGGAATCACAGAAGCTGAAGGGATGGAGCTGTGTGGGAGTGGCCGTTCAATGTCGTGGCTGACGTGAAGGAAGGCCCAGGGAAGGGGAGGCGTGGAAGAAACACAGAGTGCAAAAAGAACAGCAGGCCAGGAGGTCAACATGCCAGTTCCGGTTCAGCCACTTAAGGCTGTGTATCCTTGGACAGACTCTGGACCTTGGTATCATCTGTATAATAACCGGGTAGTTACATCTGGATGGCCACCTCACCAGGGGTTGCAATATTGTGATTTATAAAATACGTATTTTGGTCTTCACTGTTTCTGGCTCATGCCTCTCAAAACCTTAGACATTTCTGAGCAATCAGAGCAATGGATGAATCTTTTGTTATAAAATTTGGTCTCTTGTCCCCAGTTCTTGAAATCACTTCACAGCCATAAAGGTGAAATGGGTATTTGTTACTCATAAGAAGCCCCTCCCCACCACCACTGGGTGTGTCAATGAGGTGACTTTTGGAAAGCACCTCAGGATGGAGGCTGGTTGCCCGGGGAACCAACTGTGAATAGAGGGTTGGAGCTTTTGGTCCCACCCCCTGATTTCTGCAGAGGAGAGAGTGGCTGGAGGTTGAAGCCATCATTAATGGCCAACCATTTGATCAAACATGCTTATAGACTGAAGCCTGCATGAAAACCCAGAAGGAGGGGTCTCAGAGAGCTTCCAGGTTGGGGAGCCAGAATACTCCCATGTGCTGCTTGTCAGGCTCCAACTCCACAAGGGCAGAAGGTCCTTTGTTTGGGATCTCACGCTCTGCATCTCTTCATCTGACTGTTGATTTGTATCCTTTAACACGTTTTGTAATAAACTGGCAATCTAGTGAATAAACTGGTTTCCTAAGTTTTGGAAGTTGCTCCATCAAATTAATCAAACCCAAGGTCATGGGAACCTCCGATTTACAGTTAATTGGAAGTACAGGTAACAACCTGGACTTGCAATTGGCATCTAAAGGGGGGGGAGTCTTATAGGATTGAGTCCTCAGCCTGGGATATTTGATGCTATACCCAGGTAGACAGTGTCATATTGGGCCGACACCCAGCTGGTGTTGGAGAATTTATTGGTCGTGTGGGAAAACCCACAAATACATTGGAATTGGTGACCATAATTGATATCAGAACCATAGGGAGGGGATTCAATGATATGCAAAAAGAACAGCCTATATATGTATACAGAATCATTAACTAACATGGCAAAGATGGGTAGGAGATGCTATCCAATGACAGCAGAAACACAGCTCCCTGAATGCTGTCCTCAAAAGAGACAGATCCTTATATCTTCTCTGCCTTTCCATGCCCCTTCCTTTGTCCCTCTTACTTAATTCACTCAACATTCCCGATAGTCTTTTATTTTCTCATTTGCTCCTAAAACAGAATGAATGCTTGGCTGCTGCACCTGCCACTTCCCAAACATGATTCCCCCGCCCAAAGGTTTTCCAAACGACCATCCCTGTGAAGAGCTCTTATTCTCTCATCCAGGGTGGGATGTGGGGAGGGGGTCTCCCCAGAGTCAATAAGTACACGAGTAGGCAGCTGAGAATACAGAAATCCAGAATCTTTATTCACCTTCTCTCTGGTTTATCACAGTATGTTAAAATCCTATTAGATTGGGAACTGGACAGAATGAAAACCCACAGAAGGTAAACAGGTATATGAGTTGCAAGGTTTACTGTTTGCTCCCTAGTTCTCCAACCATCATGCAAAAAACCTGAAATGGCAGATTTCCCATAAGCCACTGGACAATTATTCAGGAGGTACTTGTGGTAATCTCATGTAGGGCAGGAGACACAGGAAATACTTCATCACGAAAGCATGCTTCCTCTCTTCTTTCCCAGGCACAGGGCACCTACTTATGACTGAGCAGCGTCTGATTTTCTTTTCCATCCCTCCTCACATCCCTACCCCATAGTTCTAATACTCACAGGTACATTTTCTCCCTGGAGAATGGGTAGGAGAGGTTTTTCATCCTGTTGTTACTATGCTCTGGAACTCTGGGCTTCAGGGGCGAGCTCAGCTTCTGCAGAATCTCATTGAACTTCTTCGCAATGCAGCCTTCTGATTTGATCTCATACATCTATAAAAGGCAAAGCCACGAGTTTGAAAGGAGGTCACATCCAACACTCAGGGGAGAGTGACTTACCAACCAAAGCTGCATGGGGCCCAGATCCCGTGGATGGAACCTCTCTGGGGAGAGGAGGAGACTGGGAGAAACAAGAAGCAGGGTCCTTCCCTTTCCCAACTGCTTTCACAATGACTTGGGCTCTGGACTCCCTCTATTTGTGCGAACGGAGGTGACCAGTGTAAAGAAATGAGCAAGGAATCCAAACTTTCTATATGACTTTGTAAGAGAAACAGAAGACCCACTATGTGACAGTCACTGTCCTAAAGCATGTTATGCAAATTAGCTCCCATGCGCACAGCAACCCAGCTAGATAGACAATATTAGTCTCATATTATAATGAGAAAATTAAGGCTCAGAAAGGTGAGATGAGTCAGCAAAGATCACACAGACAGTTACTGGTTGACACTTTGGATTTAATTTGTGTCAACCTAACCCAAAGTCTGCACTCCACAACTACACCACGCCCCTCTGTGATCATGTAGCATCACCTTCTTGGTGAGTTCCTTTTAGGAAGTGCCTGATAAATAAGTGTGCTTTCATAGTACAAAGCACCTAATGAGTATCTGCCTTGAGTAAGGCACAGAGTTAGTATCAAGATAATCCCTGGTATTCATAATTCATATAGCTTTCTGTCATGGACAGAAGACTTTTGCATTTGTTACAGCTTTCGGTCGTTCTAACTTTCAGATGCAGTCACTGAGACACAGAGGTACTCACAGCAAAGCTGTGATAGACTGATAGCCACAAATTCTCTTTATCCAAATTCCCCTTTCACAGGTGACATCTCTATTCCACCCCCTTACATCTGGGTAGGCTCTATGGCTGGCTTGACCAGTCCAGCAGAAGTGACACTCTGCTGCTCTCCTCCTTTAGGAAGAGGCGCAGCTCTGTCTTGGTCTGCCTTGGTCTCTTGAAGCCCTGAGTCACCTGTAGGAAGTCTGCAGAGAGGCCTCGGAAAGGAAAAGGGAGAGGCTGAGCCAGCGTCCCGGCTGCCCTCGTGCCCAGCCCAAGTCAAATACCACCAAGTGACCTCAGTTGACACCACATGGAGCAGAAGAATCACCCAACCCAGTTCTGCTCAAGTTGCTGACCAAAAACTTACAGAATAAAATAACCACGTTTTAAGTTACTTAGTCTGGGCTAATTTGTCATGCTGCAATAGATAATTGGAACAAGAGCCAACATCCAGATCTTCGGACTTGAAAGCGGATTTTCTTCTCCATCATGATATCCTCAAGTTGCTTAAATCTACACCGGCAGTAAAACATGAATGGAATACTTATCAGCTAGAGATAAAAGCCACAGAAGACATACAACACGCTTTGAGGGTTCAAAAGAAGGAGACAGCACATCCAGTTGAGGAATCAGAAAAATGTTTTGTAGAGAAGGAGTAGCATTTCGGTTGGAAATTTTAACAGGAAGATAACTTCTTTTGTTATCAGTTTGTTCTATAATATAATAATGATAAGTTGGGGGGAGGGAAAGAGCCACCCCCATTTAACAACTGAAACATAACCATAGTTTATTTCTTCTAATAAATTTTTCTATGTGTTTTGATTTACTTTCAGTTATAAAATTAACACAGTTCCAGTAAACAGACAAACCCAAGCCATGTAAGTATATTAACTAAATGTCAAGTTTTCTTTCTCTTTCAACCCAATCCTCTCCAGAAAGAAGAAATACAATAAGCATATTTTATCCTGACTCTTTCAGAAATACATGCATAGCTAAATCCCTTTCTGAACTGTGATTATATTTCACATCTTGTTCTATAACTTGCTTTTTTCACTTAGCAAAAGTTCACAGATATATGCTTTTCCAACAAGTATTACACACTGCACATGAATCCTAATTTGTTTAGAGTCATTTCCCTAGGGCATTTATCTTATTTACTATGTATATGTTATCTTACTTGATCATATTTTTATTAACATGACCTTACAAATACTTGCAATGAATAAGGCTTGAACAGATATAGGCAAAGACATCCCAGGTAAACAAAAAAGTAGAAAAGTTCAAGTTGGGCTGCAGAAGGGTTAAATGGCCTGGTTTGTTTGGAGCACGAGGTTCTGATGGGGACGTAGTGACAGTTGTGGCAGAAAGGCAAACTGAGACCTGTGCACAGAGACCCTGCTGCACAGGGCACTGGGAAGTCAGCACAGAGTTCAAACAATGACAGACCCAGGGTGGGGCTGTGTAAGAAGCAGCAGCAGCCAGCTTTCTGAAACAAGGAGACTGTTTATTTCCAGGAGTGCATACCACTTAGGAAGCAGCTCCTTTGTGCCTGGCTCTTGATACACATTAGCATGAATCTGAAAGACATACTGCAAAGCCAAGAGGAGTTAAGTGTCTCAGTCAACATCACACAGATAGTACAAGCCAGATAATAACTGCTGGGGCATTTGAACCCCCAGGCAAAGCCTGGTTTTTTAACAGCTTTATTCTCCCACTTCATTTGCTAAAACATATGAATTATCGTGGCGAAACAAGGGTGTGCAATTTATAATATTGCCTCCGCTAAACCTCTCTTTCACACACATTGGTCACTGCAATGCAAAGAGCCCACCTTCCAGGCACCTTTGGGCCTCCAGGGATGGGGTCAAAAAGATGTTATCTTAGTGCATGAGTCATTGGTCATTTAGGGCAGGTTCTGACCAAGCACAAGCCCTGCACTGAGACTGCAATGATGTGTTAATATACCCATAATCATGTGTTTTTAATGGCATATGCATGGAAATTAAGGTTTCAGAGCAGAAGGGAAGCTGATGAACTCCGTCTGCCAGATGCCTTGGAATGACAGACTCAGACTGGCCAAGGGTTTTTCTTCTTTGTCTTCATCTCTCCATATCCACCGCTGGTTTCCTAATCTAAAGAACCTTCAACTACAGCAAGAACTGGCCTTCTCGTATCTTCTCTTGCTGAGGGGTGCCAGAACTAACAAATAAAAATACAAGAGGGCCAGTTAAATTTGAATTTCATATAATCAAAAAATAATTTTTTAGTGTAAGTATATCCTATGCAATATTTGGGACATACTTATACTTAAAAATTATACTTAGAGCCCTGGCTAGGTGGCTCAATTGCTTAGAGCATCGTCTTGTACACCCAAAGGTTGTGGGATTGATCCATGGCCAATAGCCAATGTTGAATCATTCTCTCTCTCTCTCTCTCTCTCTCTCTCTCTCTTTCTCTCTCTCTCTCTCTCTCTCTCTCTCTCTCTCTCTCTCTCTCTCTCCCCACCTCTTTCTGTTCCTCTCTGTCTAAAATCAATGGACATGTCCTCAGGTGAGGATAAATATATATATATACTTATACAAGAACAACAATAATTTTAAGTATAAATATGTTCAATATTTGGGACATATTTATATGAAAAAACTATTCATTGTTTATCCAAAATTTGAATGTAACTAGGCATCTGTATTCTATCTGACAACCCTACTCTTGTCCACCTCTAATTCATTCCCCATATTGGAGTGAGGCTGATGTTTCTGAAGCAAAAATCTGAGCATGTCTCACCTCTCTGGGAAGGGTCTTCAACAATTTCCCATTGCTCTTACGATAAAAACCAAAGTTCTTAATTCAGCCCTTGGGACTCTGTAGAAGTCTCCACATTGTATTTCATGGGCCCAAATGCCTCTTCATCATAGCCCTTATCAGTCATAATTTTACATTTATTTGAGTGATTATTTGATTAATGTCCAGCTGCCTTACCAAAGCATAATCTCCATGAAGGCAGGATATTGTCCCAACTGTTCCCTGGCTTTGAATGAATGAATGAATGAATGAATGAATGATAAATCTCTGGGGAACCAGCATTGAATGATAGCAGTCACTGCCACTGGAGGAGCCCAGGCTGGGGACAGAATATCCATAAGGTAACAGACCTTGATAACAATAAACCAGGCTGGAGACAAAAAGCCTAAAGCCTCTGTCTGGCTGCAAGGCTTCCCTTCCTGTCCTCATCAACTGCAAGGGCTCTTAGCAGCCCAGCCCTGGCAGAGGCCAAGAATGCCTGTACTCAGTTGGTGTACATTAATAATCCAGTAATTGTCTCAGGGCCTTGTTCTGGAAGAAGGGTAGTTAAGAACCTCTCAGAAGTTCTTGACCTTCATCTTGGTAGCATATCTGGAAGAGCTCCCTAGAGAAATAGGCCACACTGCATGGGCACCTGCCATATGTCTTTAGAGGGACCAGGAATGGGACAGGCACAATCTTTGACTTTTTCTTTTTATTATTATTAGAATTCACTTTATTTTTTATATAAAATTTTGAGGGGGCCACAGCTGGAGCCTGGGTCATCTGCACAGAAACTCTGGTGTGAGTCTTTACAAGATGGTCAGTGGATTCCTGATAGGGAGACTTGGTGAACACGGTCTCTTTCCAGAGGTCAGGGGAGAAGCTGTAGGTCTTAGACGTGGCATCAAAGGCGGCCTTGGTAAAGTTGCCCAGGGTGGCAGTACAGCCCCAGGTGAGGTGTAGCAATCTCCACTGGTGACCATCAGCAACAGCTTCTTGGGCACAGGGACTGAGACAATCCCAGTGCCCCTGGGGGCAGGGATGAGGTACACCAACACAGAGCCACAGCGCCTAGTCACCTTGCAAGGGACAGACAGTGTGGTTTAGAGAGACCAGGAGTGGGGCCAGCTCAAGTTTTGAGTGTTTCTTGATACAGGGTGCTCCAAATCACTGAGAGTAATACTGTCTGCCCTCAGGAAAAAACACAGAAGGAGCAGCACACCAGCATCCCACCACATACCTCAAGGTAACATTTGCTCCCCAGCCATGACTAAAGCCCTGCATAAACATGCCCAGGCTCAAATACCATGGCAGACTCATGTTGGAAAGAGATTTCCCAGACTTCAGGACTTTGGGGAGATGGATTCAGACACACATGCACAATAAAACATGGGTGGATAGCCCTGTGGCACCATACCATGGACACTAAGCTT